CGGGGGTGAAAGCGGGCTTTTAAAAGGTTCCGATGGGAAACCCAGCAGGGCGTGAATGGCTCGAGACGCGTTCCGAGGAGCCGGAACATTCCGTGAGAGACGAATTGGCGAAACGAGGAGGAGAGACGTGGCAGGAATAAAGGCAGCGCGACACACTCGTGAGGGAAGGAGGGAGGCTCCCTGGGTGTAGACCCCAGAGCGTGCTACGGGGCGCACACGCACGCCGCCACGCATGTGTCACGGCCTCGAGGTGTACCACCCGTCCTCCTCCTCCTTCTCCTCCTCTTCCTCCTCCTTCTCCACCTCCTGCTCCTACACCCGTCTCTTTATTCACGAAAGTTCGGTTTACCTCGTTCCCTTCCGGGTCTGTCTCTGCCCTTTTTTTTCTCGTCTATTTTTGCCCCAGCAGCTTCTCTCTTTCGGGGCGTGCTTGGACTGGGTGCCTCTCGGAGAGAAGAGAGGGGGCTGTTTCTCTGGTGGAAATAGAGAAACATCGGTGCTCTTTAAACTAATTACGGCGGACGTGTGTCGATTTAATTAGAAGAATCCGCTTATGGCAATATCTCGGGATACGACGTTCATGTTGTACTTGTCCACGTTTGTGCAGGGTTGTTGTTGGGGTTTTTTTTTTTTTATCGAAAGTGGTCCCGACGGCTTGGTCCGCAAATAAAAAAAATGAAAAGTCGCGCATACGAATGGCGTGGAATCGTACGGGTGATCCGCGCCCGTCCAATTTCCAGCGCCGGGACGCTATTTAGGTATATCCATAGGCGATAAATTATCGGGTGAAATTTGTAGCCGGCACGTCCACGGGGCGTCGAAATATCTTATGACTATTTAGCGCGACGTGGAATCCCGTTTTTCGTAAACATGTCCGCGCCACGAAAGATACGGTCGTTTTATATAAAAAACGGTGGCGACGTACCCATCCTCCGTTTCTCTCCCCCCTTTCGAGATTTCTTCTTCTTTTTCTTCTTCTTCTTCTTCTTCACCGTAGCGAAAACAAAAGGGAGGGAAGAAAATCGTGCGTGTGAAAATAATGTTTTCGTTGATCCTCGTTTATCACGTGGGCGACACGCACCGTCCGATTTCGACACACGAATTCTACGAATAGAAAGATTCTACGTGAGCGAACCTCTTTTCCTTCGTTTTTCCTTCTCCCCCTTCCTTCCTTTTCACACGAAGGAGAACGATATTTATTTTCGATCGTTTCGTTTCCAAAAAGTCTAAAATATATTTTTATAGTTTTTTTCTTTTTTCTTTTTTTTTTTTTTTTTTTAATTCGCAATGTTTCGTGTGGGTAGTTTTTCTTGTCGTGAAAAATTTTATGCGCTTAACTTAAGTTTTTTTTTCGATCGCAACCTTAGTGAATTTGATACGAAAATTTGTATCTACCAGAAAATATATCGAATTGTATAGATATAGATATTTGAATATATTTGAAAGGAGGAGTAGATGAAAATGGTTGTTTTAAATAAAAAAAATTGCGAAAGTAAGGGAATAAGAAAATTAAAAGGGCGAAGATTTTATTTATCAATGCTACGATAGACCTCTGCCTCCTTTCTCTCCATTCTTCTGAGCCTCGTTCTCTCGAAATAACTCCACGCCCTTGCCGTATTAATTACCAGGATTCATTTCATCCTCATTTACCGCGAGCTAATTTACCGCGGAGAAGCACGCCGCGATATATGTACGCGATCCTTCCCTCGTGAGCACTCCACGAGAGAGATCGACGACGTACGCTGCCTTTGGGAAGCGATTAATCGCGGGATCGCGCCACCGTTGCCTCCCCTCCTTACGACAGAATTTCGTTTACAGAGTTGGAATAAACGGAGAGGAAGTGGTAGTACACGTGAGACTTTCGGGTATTTTGGAATCTGGAACGATTAATTTATTGAAGATTTAGAAAGAGAAAATTATTAAGCTTAAGTTGCGTTCGAATATATATTGTGCATATATATATCTGTCTAAGTTTTCGAGCTCAATTTTCTAAAAAAAAAAAAAAAATGGCGCCTCATATTGAAAAAATTGTATTCCATAATCTAATTTAAGTTAATTACGCTCAATTCTCTCCGTGTAGATAATTTGTAAATATTATATCTTACACGTGATTATCTAAATAGCCACAACTCCGTGAATTATATCCTATAACTTATCATCAATGTTATCCAAGAACATTCATAAGGATTCCATGCAAAAATGACAGGTTACTCTCTGGCCAATCGTATGATTATTCAAATGGAAGTCCCAGTGCACTTAAGAGTAAGCTGGATGGAGAGTCCTTCTCGAGTAGACATCTCCACTTGAAAAGTTATGAAGAAACTAGGTGAGGTATAGCTGCTCGGAATTATTATATATGTGATTATTATTATGTAAATCAGTCTGCACATGCGTAATTAAATAATCAATTGGCATGTTTATTATTATCGTCGACAATTCTATCTCAATTTTGCATTTATTTGTCACATTTTTTTTTCCAGCGCGTGCAACAGGTATAATCAACGAGATAGACTTTTTTTATTCTTGTTTAGCGATTCTATATTGTAGGAATTATTAATTTTAATTAAATAGTTACCATGACGTTAATATCTTGTTCTCCTTACGTGATATAGATCTCGTTTCTTTTTTCAAGCCAAAAGTATAAGGAACTTGTTCAATTAAATATACATTATATACCTTTATATTTTTTTTCGATTATGTATGGATAAATGTTTATATTAATTATCGATATTATTACAAATCTTCCAACTTAGATCAATAGATCGTTCACTTTTCATAGAAATATCTTTCCTCCTTTTTACAATATGTATTCGTTATTAACCTTTTATTCAATTTCAGATTTTAAATTTTTGAATCCGTTAAAATATCGAGGCATGCTCTCTTTTCATTTATCTACTTAAGAAACACGAAAATACTAGCTCAACAGAAAATGACAGCTAATGAAAGACGAAAAGAAAATTTAAAGAAATTTATGGTGTATTTTTTGGGTATGAAATTACACGCTTCGCTGAGTTTCCAAGAGCGGTTCTTACCGAACTTAGCCGATGACTCCCGAATATACTCGCGAATATAACCGAATACAACCGCGAAAAGAAATCGAACAATAACAAATAAATACTCCAATTTCAAATATTGTGTAGTTTATTTTTATTTTATTTATCTATTGTTGTTAGTGTACTGATACCGTACAATAAGGCAATAATCTTTCATGTTACATAAACATAGAATATTTTTATGCCCGTGTACAACAATTATATACGAAAACGGTATACGCGACAAGATATTTGCTATCTTTAGTCTCCACAAGCTCATCGTTGCGCTGATATCGTTTGAACAAATGAGGGTATTTTTATTCGGTAAAAAGGGGTCGGAAGCATTTCTTACCGCATTAGCATGCAACGAGTATAATTTTCGTGCGATATTTGATCGTTTATAAAAGTGCAAACACGGCTCGTTGATGTACGAAGGTTGATCCCGACAATTTGACTTATTCGAGCGGCGAGACGATAAATTTCCATTTAATTTATTCGGTCTCGAAACGCTCGAGTGGCATTCACGGTATACACGGCTGTCATTATACGAAATTACGTGACAATTATTGCTATCGGGGAACCCTGATCACGAGGGGACATCGATGTCGCGCTACATAATTCCAGTTACGAGAAACGTGTACGTTGAAAACTTCGATCGAAGATTTTTTATTTTTCTTTTCTTTTCTTTTCTTTTTTCTTTCAAGTGAATTATAACTTATTTTTATTTCACCTCTTCTCAGTCTCCTCGCGTCGACGGTAACTTTTTAAGAAGTTAATTGTCGTGTGTCATCTGTTGTTTAATAACGACAGATACCGCTACTCGATCCTCGATTATCGTCCATTAAAGTAACACGGAATTGCTATCGAGTTATCGAGCACGCATTTATAATCGGATCCGCGACGATAAGCTTGTATCACCTGGCTTTCGAAATTACCGTCATTACCGCCATTAACCCTTTGCTCTAGAATTATTTTTAAACCCGATACTCGACTTTACAACTCTGTAATTTATTTCCGTGTATATATATACACATTTTATTCGTGCTTTGGACATTTTTTACGCGCATTGATACACGGTGTTAACTAAATACCTGTTGACGGAAACGAGAACGAGACGAGGTAATATGAATCATCCTGGTCTGGTAACATGAGTCACGGACAAAAAAGGTTGGAGGATACGTGAAGGATTTTATATCATGTTGTATGCAATATTAAAAAAAAAACGATTTTATTGCCATATAATTTGTTTATGTATAATTTTTTGATACATCTGGTAATCAACACTCGAGCATGATTATCTATAATTCATTAGATGTTAGCGGATAATGTTTCGAAATTCATTTTTTTTAATGTTAATTCAATTAAATTTCTTATCTCGCTGATTATCTTATTATTATTATGTGTTTGAGTCACTTGAAGTTTCATTGACAAGATCTCTTATCTATGCTTTCGTCAAAAGCATCATTAATCGAGTCATTATCGAACAATCGATGATGTGTTTTACAATATTTATTCACGTCGATCGTTTTTTTTTAGGAAAATTTTTTTGAAAATTTTGTTTGTATATATATATATATATATCTTTTTTATTAAATCTTTTATGTAAGAATAAATATTTTTCATTATTTTGTTTTTTCTTGAAATTGATTAATATTTTCACTTCTCTTCTTATGAATTATAGATTCTATTTCTAAAAAGTTCATCAACTTTTTCATAATTTTTTTTCGCTTTCTTACACTTTCTTTAAAATATATTTATATTTTATATTTAAAAATACATAAAAGCAGGATACATTTTCATTATTTCATTACAAAATATGCCAATTTTCAAATTTAATTTCAACTTATCCCATAAATCGATATTCGATTTCCACAATAGAAATCCTGTCGCATTTTTCTATCGTTCCTTAAAAATTTATAATATCCGATAAACTCGACATTGACAAAAAAAAAATTGAAAATTTTTCAGCTGCTGGTGAGCGGCGGGCAGCCAACAACGGCGACGTCGCCGGCGATGTCGTCGGGGGGTGCCCTGAGTCCTGGCGCCCTCTCACCGTCGTCGACGGCGACGACGACCGGCGCCGCGGCGGCAGCCGCCTCCGGTGGGGCGAGCACCCCTGTGGCGGGTGCCACGGGACCCGGTTGCTGCGAGAACGGCAGGCCCATGATGACCGATCCAGTCACCGGCCAATCTGTGTGCAGTTGTCAGTACGACAGCGCGGCAAGGCTAGCTTTGGGAGCGTATCCAAGGCTAGCACCGACCGCGACCTCCTACTCGTCGTATCCCACGCCGACACCCTCCACCACTGACCAAGGACCCTATCCTAGCATTGGAATGGACAGCTCCGCGTTCTACCCTCCTTTGGTGAGTAGCTCTCCTTAAGTATTTATCACTGGACTGGTTTTTTATTTTTTTTTTCTTTCCTTCTCCTTCCTTCCTTCCTTATTTCCTTCTGTTTCCATGCAAGAAGGTCGCCGGGTTAATTGTTCGAAGGCAATTAACGGCGTTTACACAACAAACGATGAATTATTCATAGTATATTATTTAAATAAATTATTATCGTTTGTGGGAATATTTTGACGAGTTGATGGGGATTCGAATATCTTGGATGAAAGAGAATTGTAAGGTTTCGAAGTTGGCTCGAAATTACTTCCCAAGATTGCAATCAAGATATCAAAGCATAAAAAAAGTCATATTGCATTTGAAAAAATAAATATTACGGAACGAATAAATTAGTCCAAATAGCGCGTTCCATGGCTAATCGGAAGACTTACGACCACTATGTATTTATAAACGCGATCATTAAACGGTTTATTAGCTTCATTTCGAAATAGAAAAGCAGATGTATCCGCCCGCATTTGCAATATGTTTTGTAACGTTTCACGGATGAGATATACGCGGTTATCGTAGGCTCAGATTGATCGAGGCGTCGTGCTAGGCGTGCCGGACGATTATTACTCCTGTTGCCCGAACTCAAGACGGATTAGCGTTCGGCCCTGCCACGAATTAGCTTGGAATCCACGGTAATAGAAGCCACGAGAAATCCATACGTGTCTGTTCGAAGTCACGCTTCCCAGCCACGCTCCGTCGCCGTCTGCGTCGAATTATTCACGCGCGGCTGTCGAGAGCAGAGCGATAATCTCGTTTAAGTTTCGGTTCGCGGAAGACGCGTCTCTCTACCTCCTAACGAGGGCTCCGTGATGGATTCGCGGTTATATATTTCGTGGAGCGAATTTCGCTCACATTTCGCTTGAGAATCTTGTGAAACACGCGTTTCTCGTCGCAGACACGCACCGAGCTCCTTTTCATCGCGTGGAAAAAACACCGGCTAAGAATAAGTTTCCGAACAGAGTCACGTGACACTATGTGGAGAAAGAGAGAGAGAGATGGCGCTCGCGTGCCTGTGGACGAAAGTGTCGGGTAATTAAGTCACCGCGGACATTGAAATTACATCGAATCGGTATCGCGTGCGAAAGGAATGGGTAGGCGGAGACGAGAAACGTTCAAGTTCGTTGTAAAACTTGTTCAGGGTGAGAAGGATTGACATGGTGAGACTTTGTACATGTGTTTAACCCATGGAATGCAGAGGATTCGTAAGGTACAGGTTATGATGTTATTTCTCGAGCAACGAGTTGATAATTAGTATTTTATCGGATATTTTCTGAAGCATTTCTTATCGTATATGGATATTTGAATCCAGTGAAACGAGTAATTTTGTATTGGAAAAATACATCATAAATTTCTTCTCGAATGCTTGAGTTCTCTTTCTCTTTCGCTGTCATTTTCTACGGTCTTTCTACGGACAAAAAATGAAACGAGTCTCGAAGTTTCGTCTTTTTTGTAGATATACTCATAGTTAATGTAGTTAGTTTCATATATGTTTAAACTTCCAGTTACAATAAAATATTTCTCGTTGTTGTTTTAATGAAAACGTAGTTTAAAATTAATGAAAATTCCAATTTTATAATATAATGTGTAATTTTCGAATTGATGATTATCGAACGATGTTACGTGAACGAATGAAGTGTTTTTGAACATAAGGAAAAAATCAAGCGGCAATTGTAACGAGATCACGCGTGTTGAGAAAAAACTGTTTGCGCGTAATCATGATATCAATGATAGGACTGATAAAACGCGCGATTGACGTAGACGTGTAGAAATAGTCGATTGTATCAACGTTTCGGCCAATTTATATCTGCACTCGAGCGTGGATACTCACTACAGGGAGGTAGGAACGATAAAAAGATTGCTGTGGAAAACACGCTCGCCACACCAGATGTTGCGAGTCCATTTGAAGCGACTTCGACTGGGCGCGAGTTTCAACTGGAAAAGGAACAGAGAGAGAGAGCTGATAATTAAATTCTGCATTTATTCTCAGCTCCTTTTTATTCATGGAGACCTCGTTTCGAACGATAAGATGCATTAATCCCACAAGAGAGTGAAAGGTCAAACCGAGGCAAACCCGTATCAAATGTTAGGATATCGTGTAGAGAAAATTTTTTTTATCATACGAAACACGCGTTTCCTGTAGCGTGTATCGAGTATAAAGGTATGTTTTCTTTTCTTTTTCATATAACGAATTATTGCATCGAAATATTTTGAGAATAGTGGTCGGTTTATTAATATTATTATTATTATTTCGAATATATATATATATATATATATGGAAATTCTCCAAAATGAGGAGTGGCTAATTAAATTTAAATTTATCGTCATAATTATATTAATTGGTTGTTCGGACGAAATCATGGAACAATCAATTTTTCCTCCCTCTCCTATTAATCAATTGAGACTGATGATTGTATAAAAACAATTTAACCTTCTATGGAACCGTATTTGGAATCATTTATAATTTTATTACTCAAGTGCCACGAGATATTTAAATCTTTGTATGCAATAAAAATTGAAATTAAAATAAGTTCGACTATCATATCTCGATTTCAACACGGAAGCGAGATTCCACGATTCGGAAATAGCTGTTTCCATGACAAAAATGCTCGTTTCTTATCTCAACAGCCTTTCCTCGATTTAATTAACGGAATACAACCGAGATATAAATAGGTGATGAAATAGATAGAGATAGATAGATAGCAAGGTGTTTAACCAAGTATCGAAGTACAATACCGCCTTTTTTAACGATTCTGGATTTATTCGATTCATTCGAAAAATTTTTATTTTTTTAAAATCATGGATATTTTGCTCAAAATAATCGATCAGAATCGATATTGAATTTCGTTCGACACTTTTAAAAATTGGTGGAAATAAAGAATGCTTTATATATATATATATATATATATATATACGTTACACATTCGAATTCTTCTTCCTTTGACTGTATGAAGTGAAGCGAGTAATTTCACATCGAAACAATACGTCGTAAATTTTTTTTAAATCCACTTAAGTCCAGTTTCTCTTCGTCTTTCGCTAGCTGTCATTCTCTACAATTGTCGTTACGTAAGCTAGAATTTCACGTCTCTAGCGAGAAAAAACTATAGTTAAAAATGTGTCGATACTCGTGGCGTTCGAGTTTATAACGAATTTCCACCCCAAGCGCGAGACCGAATCGCATTCAGCCAATCAGCGACGCGTGTCCTCCGATAACCGGGCCACCTTTCATTGGTCGAAATTACACGACCGTTTTATACCTCGACAAATGGAACGAATCGGATGGAATCGCAGATAACGAGCAATTTCTATCCCCCATCACGTACACCACGATCTGCCGCGACGTTCAAATTTTTGTTTCGTACTTTATATTACGATCGTGTATCGATTATGAGCGACACCGATCGTCGAGCCAGAGAATTATCGTCGTGACTCCATCTAGCGGCTGATAATGTGCGCGTGTCGTTACACGGTTTCGTTCTTTCGATGTTCTTATCTGCACAACCGCAAATGCTAACCGCGGTCTTTTGATCTTTGCCGCACAATCAGTCCAAGTCAGAACTGATAACGGAAGATAGTATCGCTTCCAAGCTTATCTCATCTCGTTGAAAAGTAAAAATGATTGTTAGATTTCTTCAAAGAGGGTTGCGTTTCTATGATGATTTCATATTTGGTTTGGTTGATTGTAAGGTATCACGCGGGTAGTAAGTGAAATCTAAGGTCAATTGTTATTTGTGCGTTATATAAGATAAAGCATTTATATATAAGAAAAGTATTTATGTATTTTCTTGGACAATGAGGAATTATATATAAAATTTGAAATAGCAATTCAAAATTTTATATTTTTGATAATTATTATATAATTATTATATAAAAATTCATTATATTAATATTATTATAATAATTATTAATAATCATATTAAATCGAATAAATAATAGTGAATTAATAATCTTATTAATTAAAATTAATATAATTTTTCCAATATTTCAAACATATTTAAAATAATAATAAGACAATTCCTAATTTTCTTAACATTGTAAGAAAATTTTATAGAATTTTATTTTCATAATGCATGATAGATTATAGACGATTATGTGCGTTAATACAATTTCTTTCTTCTCTCTCTCTCTCTCTCTCTTGTAATCATTTAGTCAGAGAGTGTCGACAAATTAATTTAGATCGACGTTTTATTGGCAATGGGAGGGAGTGGAACGCGAGGAATGCGGATTTAAACGGTCGGGGTGTGATTTCTGCTATTTCACAGTTCGTTTCACGGACCACAGCGTTTCAACGGATGTTAATTGCTCCCTGGATATTTCTCGACACAACGTACGCCGATTATGTCACTGTTCCTTGTTAATGCTATTCACAAATTGCCGATTAAAGGAACGTTATCGTACGATAATGTACCTCGACTTGATGAAAAATTTCACCCGATTTGTACCTGAAAATTAGTCGAAAGAGGAAACGAAGAGAGGCAGGAAGCAAAAGTAGTAGCACTGCAACGAACCTACTTATAGACCTCGATATGGACTGGTTCCGCTGCGTTTGGTGTCGTCCAGGTCTTTGCTGTTTTCTGTTAATTAAATTGAATTGCGTATTAGCCTCACTTTGAAGGTACGTAAGAAAACAGAGAAAATACGAGGTTTCGTAATGTGTAATGTATACAGGATATTTAACTATGTGGAAAAATTTAAAACGTGATTCTTTAGAATAAAGAAAGAAAATAATCAAGAAAAAAAATCGTCTCTGAGATTTTGTACTCAATGACAATTAAAAAGCGATACAAATTTTTGGAAATTTAATTTTTTATATCAAAAATAAAGACAATTAAAAATCAATGAAAAACTTTATTAACAACAAGAAAAAGAGAATCTTATACTTATAATATATGCAAATATTAATTAAGATAAATATTATCATTACAACGCAATAAATCAAATTTCAAGATACTTTATAGATCAAAATAATCTAAGAT